TACTGCATTGAATCTTATTGTATTGACTCATATTGCATCATATCATATCATACCTGAGTGTGCATCCTTCTATAATGGCAGTTATGCAAATCCTTTAGAGGATTAGTAAAACCCTCTGTGAGATTATGAGTCAGGAGTGAAGCAGTAATCCACAGCATATCACCAAAGTCAAAGCAACACAGACTCTTCATCCCAGTCAAGAGTGCTGATTTGTTTTTCATTTGAGTCAGTGTCTCACTGCTTCGTCTCAAACCACCACCTCTTTCTGTCAACTGTGGGGTTAGAAAATTAAGGAGACAACCATTTCTTTTGGCACGCATCATGTCTCTTACAACTAACTACAGAATATTCTCTTTAAGGGAAAAAATGCACTTCAGAACATAACTGGATGAATTTAGACTAACTGTAGCTTTAGCAAAACATTTGGCTCTGCAGGTCAGTCTAGCCATGCTCTACTGAACAGGTCAACCACTGGCCTGATCAGTTTTGTGTCCTGCCAATCACAGCGCTCTACTTTTGTAAGGCGGGCCACGTTTGAGCTGCGACAGAGAAAAACTTCAAAGATGGCTTTGGCATCAACTTTCAACAATTTCAACTTTAGTTTGTGACATGAGCAGATAGGGGTAATTCAGTCACTTATTTTTATGTATTTACCACTTTGATGGTGTATGATGGACTGTCTCGATGAATGACAGCCGTAGAAGTGCGTACGTCACATTGTTTGTTGCCCCAGTTGGTGCAAGCGCTGTCCAACTGCGTGCTGAGACAATTTGAAAGACACCTTTAGATGCCACCCCACGACTGCGTGGTTTCAATGGCTCGTAGCCCGACTATACTATATAAAAAAACACTCAACAACCACTTTAATGGGTACACCTTGTTTTTAACGAGTCGGACCCCCTTTTGCCTTCCGAACTGCCTTAATCCTTCGTGGCATAGATTCAACAAGGTACTGGAAACATTGACATGTTAGCATCAGTTGCTGCAGATGTGTTTGCTACACATCCATGATGCGAATCGCCCGTTCCACCACATCCCAATGGTGCTCTGTGGGATTGAGATCTTACTGTGGAGGTTATCTGAGTACAGTGAACTCATTTTCATGTTCAATAAACAGTCTGAGATGATTCAAACTTTACGCCATGGTGCATTATCCTGCTGGAAGCAGCCATCAGAAGATGGGTACACTGTGGTCATAAAGGAATGGACACGGTCAGAAACGATAGGCTGTGGCATTGCAATGATGATCAATTTGTACTAAAGGACCCAAAATGTCCCCCACACCATTACACCACCACCAGCAGCCTGAACCGTTGATGCAAGACAGGATTCATGCTTTTATTCAATTCAATTCAATTCAAGTTTATTTATATAGCGCCAAATCACGACAAGAGTCGTCTCAAGGCACTTCACATAATAAACATTCCAATTCACAGTTCATTAAGCCAATCAGAAATAATGTGTCCTATATAAGGAACCCAGCAAATTGCATCAAGTCACTGACTAGTGTCAGAGTCTTTACAGCAATCCTCATACTAAGCAAGCATGCAGCGACAGTGGAGAGGAAAACTCCCTTTTAACAGGAAGAAACCTCCAGAGAATCCTGGCTCAGTATAAGCAGCCATCCTCCACGACTCACTGGGGATCGAGAAGACAGAGCAGACACACACACACACACACACACACACACACACACGCACGCACGCACGCACACACACAATAATGTGTCTATAGTTATATTGTGATTTCTTAGTAAATATTCCATTTGGTGAGAGGTAAGCTTTATTGTATTTATCCTAGTGGATCTCTAATTAAACGGGTAAACTAGTAGTAGCACGTCCAACGTCAAGGAAAGCAAAAAGTTATTATCAGGAGAGGGAGAATGTTTAAGTGGTTAGCAGCAGTGTGCTAGACGATGGCCCCCTCCATGAGGCCACCACAGCTCAGCAGAACATCATTGTGGCTTCTTCTGGGGAGAAAAACACTTAGAGAGAAAATAAGTGTTTTTTATGTTGTTGACGTCAAATTCTGACCATACCATCTGAATGTTGCTGCAGAAATCGAGACTTGTCAGACCAGGCAACATTTTCCAGTCTTCTATTGTCCAATTTTGGTGAGCCTGTGTGAATTGTAGCCTCAGTTTCCTGTTCTTTGCTGACAGGAGCGGCACCTGGTGTGGTCTTCTGCTGCTGGGACCCATCTGCATCAAGGCTCGACATGTTGTGCTTTCAAAGATGCTCTTCTGCATACCTTGAGTTATTGTTGCTTTTCTATCAGCTCAAACCAGTCTGGCCATTTTCCTCTGACCTCTAGCATCAACAAGGCATTTTTGCCCGCAGAACTGCCGCTCACTGGATGTTTTCTCTTCTTCGGACCATTCTCTGTAAACCCTAGAGATGGTTGTGCATGACAGTGTGTTAGGGATTTTATCAATATGTTTATCAGTAAACCCATTTCCTGGAGTCGAAGAGAAAAGGGACAAGAATCAATAAGGCAGACATACAACCAAATCATGATTTTGTGGCAAATGCCCTGAACAGCTGGTCACAGAGTTTATTTAAGCAAAGAGATAAGAGAGGAATAGGAGTGGATCATGTGTGAGTGAGAGTGTGTGTGTATGTGTGGGAGGACAAGAATGTGTGTGTGTGTGTGCGCGTGCACGCGCGAGTGAATGCTTTCAGGACATTCAGTTAATAGATCTGTTAATAGGACTAAAGTAATGAAATAGAAATTTTCCATAACACAATCTCAAAAGATCTGTTTCTGAAATACTCGGAGCTGCCCGTCTGGCACCAACAACCATGCCACGCTCAAAGTCACTTAAATCACCTTTCTTCCCATTCTGAAGCTCGGTTTGAACTGCAGCGGATCATCTTAGCCATGTCAACATAAATGCATTGAGTTGCCACTATGGGACTGGCTGATCACTAATTTGTGTTAACGAGCAGTTGGACAGGTGTACCCACTAAAGTGGCCGGTGAGTGTATGGCTTGCCAGGCTATAAAAAACATCCATTAAACTAACTAACTAACTAACTAACTAACTAACTAACTAAAACTTTATTTATATAGCGCCTTCACATGGCCCAAGGACCAAACAAAGCGCTGCACAGCAGAAATACACATTAAAAAAAATAAAAACATATAAAACCATTTAAAAACCAACTAAACATGCAGATAAAATCTAGGTGGGGCAGCAAAAAGTGCAAAGCCATCCGTTAACGGGACTCTTCTTGAGTAAAAGCTAAAGAATAAAAGTGTGTTTTCAGCTGGCTCTTAAACTTGCCGAGCGTGGTGGCCTGTTTAACCCATGCAGGTAGCTCATTCCAGAGCCTCGGCCCCAGCACCGAGAAAGCACGACCCCCTCGAGATTTCAGTCTGTGTTTGGGAACGACCAACAGTCCTTGTTGTGCTGACCGAAGGTTCCTTACGGGAACATAAGGATGGATCAAGTCCGCCAGATAACGTGGAGCCAACTCATTTTAACATTTAAAAACTAACACCAGAACTGTAAACAAAATTCTAAAGGAGACTGGAAGCCAGTGTAGGGATGCCAAGACAGGCGTGATATGTTCAGATCTCCTGGTACCAGTCAGTAACTGGCTGCCACATTTTGGACCTTCTGTAGTTTCGCTATGGAGGCCTGCTTGATGTCTGCATAAAGCGAGTTACAGTAGTCCAGTCTGGTGGTAATGAAGGCATGGATGACCGTTTCCAGATGTTTACGTGAAACAAACGGCTTAATCCTAGCTATTCTCCTGAGATGGAAATAGCAGGATCTGATTGTTGCATTGACCTGGGTGTCCAGTGTGAGCTCAACATCCAACTTCACCCCCAGGTTGGTGACCACAGCCTTCTCAAAAGGTGCTAATGAAGAAGAGACAATCCCTTGGGCACATCCATGTTTGTATTTCGGGCCGAACAGAATTAAAGGGAAAAACTTAACTCCTTAATAAACATCACATAACTTGAGAAACTGCTTATGGCATCACTAAACACATGATGGTGAATAATGTCTTTAAGGCTCTATTCATAAATAAGGTCTTATACTGTAAAATCAGCAAATATCCTTAAAGAGCAAGTCACCCCCAAATAAACTTTTTTTGCTGATAAACTAAATAAACGAGTGTCTAATCGTGCTGCAGACACGTGTCGTCAATAAGTTTGCACTTCAGTGCATCTTAGTTAAAATTTAAGTATTCTGCCTAAAACTGGCAGTTGTGCCTTTGTCAGGTAAAAACTCTGCACTGTATTCTAATTTAAATCTGCCACTGCTATTGGCTAGGAGGTATGCTATGATGTTAGATGGTACATTATGATGTCACAATGTCTTGAGTGTGTGTATTTGTTAGAGGCTCCGCCCTCTCGGTCTGCTAGGCAACAACATTTGTTGCATTTTTCATACAGGAAGTGGGAGTTACGAAAGAATCTGGCAGGGGTCGACTTGCTCTTTAAAGAGTAAGTCACCCCCTACAAGAAACGTACTTCACTCCCACTTCTTGTTTGAAAAATACAACAAATGCTGTTGCTTGGCAGACCGAGAGGGCGGAGCCGCTAACAAAAACACACACAGAGAGGCTCACAATGGTATTATGACATCATAATGTACCAGGTGACATCATAGCATACCTCTTAGCCAATAGCGGTGGCAGATTTAAATTCAAGTACAGTGCAGAATTTTTCCCTGACGACGGCACAACACTGACAGTTTTAGGCAGAATATTTGAATTTTAACCAAGATGCACTGAACTGCCAAATTATTGACGACACGTGTCTGTAGCACGATTAGACACTCCTTTATATAGTTTATCAGCAAAAAAAATGTGATTTGGGGGTGACTTGCTCTTTAAATAATTTCATGATGGGATGAATGAAATGTTATTTTTTTCTCCACAGTCTCCAGGTTTAGGTTTTTTAAGTGATTAAATAAAACGTGTCTATCTGAGATCTGTGTCCAATAACGGTAGAATGATTAAAACATGTATTTGTTTTTTCTTACAGATTGTCTCTGATTGTCCAAGTTCCTTTGATAAACTTTCTCATCAAGACAAAAACCATCACTGAGCTCAAAAACTCAGATTAGTACCGGTAAGCATTTGATAATCCCTAATCTGATGCTGCACTAGAAACAGAAATCTAATTAAATGTAAATGCTCTGCCTTTTTTTTTGGGATTGTTTTGCTTTATTAATGACATAAATATACCAAAACAACTTCTGCTTGATTATTGTTTTCGTTTTCAAATAATTTCTCCTAATGTTGTTGTTTTTTTTTTTTTTTTTTTTTTTTTTTTTTTTTTTTTTTTACTTTTGTTGTTATATTTTTGTTTATTCAAATCTCTTTTTAATCCTGGCAGCACTTTAGGTCCTAATGGTCCTAAATCAAAGGAACTCGAGGCAGACACCGGCGCCTGAATAAAAGGAGCAGACCAACCGTCATCCCCTGCGACTGTCCTCCGCCGTGATTCCTCTCTCCTCATCAGGAGCGCTCCCTGTTTTCATTGAACATGTGTCAGATCAGGAGGCCAACACTCAAGTGAAGATGAACCCTTACGTCACTTCTCACTTCAGGAGGGATCTTTTCCCCCATTTTTATTTGTTGTAGGCGTCTGCCCTTCTATCGGTGAAGAGCGCTTTTCTGTCATTCTAGTTAAACTAGTCTGTGTTGTTTTGGTGCTCTCTTTGTAATCGAAGTGGGGGGGGGGGTGTTGGATCTGGAATGAGTTTCCCAACTCTGTGATGATTTCAGTGTAAACTGGGTTTAGTTTGAATGCACTTTGGAAACAGCTGATCAGCACATATAACTCTGACATAGATGTGTCCACACATTGTCTTTCTAGTATGTTTTTTTAATTACAACCATACACAAGTGCTTCTTTGGTATTTGTGTATGGTTTTCTGCAGAAATGTCCTTGCATGTTGCTATTTTCATGTTGACAGATTTTATTTTTAATGTGCATGATCAGAAATGCTTATTTAGAGATTTAAGTCCATGAAGTGTAATCGTGCTTTTTGGAATCTTATTCTTTCAGCACCAGTCGACTTTTCTTCTTCTGTGGCGTTCACCTGAACTCCAGGCAGGACATTTTAAGGTGATCTGTGTACTTTCCACCTCTTTTCATATCAATCGCCCACCTAAACCTCGAGACCACGGTCAATCATAAGATAGATGATAGTAATCGTTCCCTGTTTACTGTCTTTTGCCAGGTGATTAGGGATTTCTCCGTAACGCTGAACTGTTATGAGATTTATCGGCTGTGAGATGCTAGCTGTTTCAGGTGATTGTCAGAAATATTGTCATTCGTCTTTTCTACACAACTGAAACGAGTTCACGGTGGCAGTCAAACTGCCGCGTAGGTGCTTGGAAAGGAAACGTGAAATTGTTAAAGCTGTGACAAGACGGATTAGGCGTTGAAAATGCAAGGATGGTTATTTCAACCGGGTTTACGAGGCAGACGTGACTTTAGCTGGAGCTGTGAGGACAAAAGTCGTTAAAGTGAGATAAAATTATTCATTGTGCTTTTGATGGCTTTTGGTTCTGCAGAAAAACACATTTGCTAAAATCTCTGTAACTAACACAAATGCACATTTGATTCTATTGTGTTTCTTCATGCTCATTCGAAGAGGTTGTGAGGCTGGAAAGAACTTTAACCGTAAGGTTTTGCATGTTTTTAATCATTGCATGTTGAAAGTTCTTCTGTCGTCGTCAAAGTGTGTGTGTGTGTCGTAACCTTGTTCTGTCTCACGGTGTTATGAGATGTGCGCCGTGATGAGCTGGATGTCCTTAAGATGCTTCCGTTTACGCTATCCCACTCCACTGCGTAATCAGCTTCTACTGTTCATCAAACGATGCCTGCTAATGAACTTTAGACTTCGCTTTTTAGTTTGAAACTGAACACAGCCCTGCATGTTCTTGTGATGTATGTCGAGGTCCGTCCAGCCCCAACACTCCTTAAATGAATTCTGGCTCCTGCGTGATCGCAAACTCAAACTGTTAGAGCTGCCGATTTTCAGCTCGCCGCTTTGGATTGATTTTAAGGACTTTGCTGAAAGGATTTGTAGAAAAGGACACTTTTATGGAGGTGATGTGGAACTAAACTGAAAGACTGCACTGTGAAAAAGAATTCCAGGGATTTTTCTCCTCATGACCTGCCGTCGTCACCTCGTTGGGACGGACTGGAAAATATCGTGCTGATCTCTGCAACGTCACTGACTCTGTCAAAGGATTTAAGCAACATTGAAAATTGCAAAGGTTTGATTGCAGAAAATGGGAGCTGCACGTGTCAAACGCCGCTTCAGTGCTGTGGTGGATGGGCCAGTGGAGGAGGAGGAGGTCATGAGGCTGGCACAAAGTGCTGCAGATACAGCCAAGGCGGGAGAAAGCCCAACGGAGTCAGGGAGCCCAACCAGCTCCTCTCCGTCCCACACCCTCAACGGCAAAGCTCTACAACTGCAGAGCAGCACCAGCAATGCGCGGAGACAGAGCGCCATTGGCGAGCCAGCTCGGGGAGATGAAGGAGAAAAAGATGAAGTGAGAGCAGAAAGAATGTGCCAAAGGCCAAGAAATACAAGAGGTAGCAGTGTAGGAGGAAGACAGGATGGCCCTTCATCACCAGTCCAGGGTTCAGTCTCTTCCCTCTCCACTACTAACCGCAGACGCAACAGGCGCTCAAGCCGCCGGCCCCGACAACGCTTTGTAGGCAAGGACGGACGCTGCAACGTCACCTTCGTCAACATGAGCGAGAGGGGCCAGCGGTACCTCAGTGACCTGTTCACCACCTGTGTGGACATGCGTTGGCGTTGGATGCTGGTCATCTTCACCCTCTCCTTCATTCTCTCCTGGCTTTTGTTTGGCTTCATCTTCTGGCTAATTGCCTCCGCGCATGGGGACCTCTCCATTCGGCTTTCCCCCAGGCCCGGATCAGGAGACGCCGGCTCTGGAGGAAAGCCTGATGGAGACATGGTGGTTGAGGAGCCATGCTTTCTGCAGGTGAACAACTTCATGGCAGCCTTCTTGTTTTCTTTGGAGACGCAGACATCCATCGGTTACGGGTTCAGGAGCGTGACCGAAGAATGTCCCCTGGCGGTGTTGGCGGTCGTTGTGCAGTGCATTGTGGGCTGCATTATTGATGCCTTCATCATTGGGGCGGTCATGGCAAAGATTTCCAAGCCCAAGAAACGCAACGAGACTCTGGTGTTCTCCGACTCAGCCGTGGTGGCGCTGAGAGACGGAAAACTCTGCATGATGTGGAGGGTTGGAAACCTACGCAAGAGCCATCTGGTAGAGGCCCACGTCAGAGCACAACTACTCAAAGTAAGCTGAAGACAGATGAATGATAAGAATTGTAAACATTTATTAAAGAGGTCGGTTTGTGTGGTGTATCAAATGAAAACGATTCCCACTGTGAGAGATTCGGGGAAAGGGAAAAGATTGCAGGAGCAGGAGAGAAAGGGAAAGCTTAGACCATCTGGCCTGTTTTAGCCATAGTTAATGAGAACTTGTTTTATTTTTCCTCAGGGGTTTGGAAGACTTACCGTGGATTAACTTGCCTACAATTCTTTAACTGAAAACCATTGTCCTTCCTGGTCTCATTTTTCTGTGTAGGCCAAATATATTTTAACTTCTATTAAGGTTGAAGCTATGCGCATCTTGGCCTTTCATAGTCTTGATTGCTGCTTTAGTGTGACGACATATAAATAACCTTCAGAATGACAAATACCTGCCTAGCACTGACCGCTCGCCCCATCAGCACAGACAATTCTCTCTCTCCCTCTCTCCCACCTCCCTTTCTCTCTCTTAATAGCATGGTCATAACAAAGTCCAACCAAGGCAGATGGGATTAGGTTTGCTAGGATGAAGGAAATACAGTTCCAAATGCTAAAGCTAGATCTTCTTTCACAGAAAGGGGTGGGAGAATTGTAAGCCTAAGCTTTGGCAGTGTGACTAAAGACTTTTAAATGAAGCTCAAAACAATAACCATATGCTACCAAATGTTACCCAAACACGTAAAAAAGGACAAGACAAAAAGTTTGCAATGCTTTTGTTGTGATACCTCAAAAAAAAAAAACAAGGTAAATGGATACTAAACAGTTTTGGCTAACTTTTAGCACCCCCCACCCCCACCCAGTGTCGATTAGTAAAAACAAAAAGTTTAAATGATGTCCTTGTTGCGCGTTCGTCTTCTTAACACCTTAATCTAACTGCTGACATGCCTCCTCGGCCTTCATTAGTCTCTACAGGTGTGGCTCAAATCAATCAAAGATACTTTATTAATCCCAGAGGGAAATTAGAGTTTCAGTACACACAATTAAGAGATCAGACATACATACATAGACACATGACAAGAATTGGTGACTGTGGTCATTCGCAACCCTGAGTCGCGCTACCGTACTAGAGATAAGAGGGTTTACATGAGGATTGGTTCAGGTGGAGGGAAAAAAAGGCACTTCAGAGTTACCCTCCACCAGGAGGGCAGCTTTGCTATGCAAAAAAAAAAACACCTCAGACAGATATGCAACAGACTTCAGACAACACAACATAAGTGTTCACTAGGTGGGATGGTGGGTTGGGACTAACCCCTCTTCAGTTGCAGCCACGATGAAGCAGCGCATGTCACCTCAGTGTGGATAGGGGGAGGAGCATTGAGGGTTGGAGGGTTGCAGTGACCCTGGACGCTTCAGCGGCCTTCCCGCAGTCCCGCCCAGGATGGGAAAGGAGACAGAGTTGAGTTGCCATAGCGACGGCACATTCCACATATCTTCTGAGGGGGGAGTTTTCATTGGAGCCTTGCTGGCTCAAGGGCGCCAGATTCCGATTAGAAATTGTTTTGGGGCCAGACAGAGATAATTTCCTCTCTGTCTTACAGTTTGCTGTGTTTATGATCTAAAACATGCAGGAAACGCACTGGAAGCAGACTGCAGTGACGGCATGTCAGCTTCACTTTAGTAGGTCCAACAGGGACCAGACCAGATACTCTGAAGTTGCAAGAGCGGTATTCTGACCACAGGGGTAGAGGTCTGAGTGACATTTCATTAACTCTGTAAAGGATCATTTTAGCACATACAAGAAAATGACTCAAAAATGTGAAATAGTTATAATGTATCCCCTTAACGGAATTTTTAAAATCAGGATATTAACTGCCAAATTTATTTTTATACTAAATATTTTGTGACCTTGGTTCGTTAAAAAGATACTACAGTTTTCTTGACGAAATGTTGAGAGGAAAAGTTGTGATAAATAAACTTTTATGGTTTTTGTAGGTAGGTATTTAAATGGCCATGTTTTGGTCAGGGCAGATTGACAAGCTAACAGCTAGTTTAGGTGATGTCTAAGACCAAATTAACAACTTCTCAGCCTATAGCAGCCTGAGTGGGGGTGGATGGGCGTGGCCAACTCCAGCCCTAAATGGCACCCGCTCCACAAAACTATTTAGTGCAGTTTTTAGTCAGCAGAGGGCTGCAGAGAGGTGCCAAATGTGAAGCTGGTCAAGTTTTTAACTCAACAATCACTGAGATCAATGTTAAAGCTCTAGCTTAGATAAAAATATTTATTGTTACTAAAACTGCTTTTTATGTGAAGCCTGTTTTATAAAGTTTTACACTACTTTTAATTTAGCATAATATGATTATTTGCATTAATTTTTTTGTTTATTTGCAAAAAGTTTAAATAGAGTTTATGCATGTGAAGGAAACAAAAAGATTTTTCATACTCACTACAGTTCCTGCACACTCAGAAAAAAAAAAGTACATATTGCACCTTTAGGGGTACAATGTGTTTTCACTGGGGTGGTACCCTCAAAGGTACGATTTCGTATCATCAACTGTGAGTAAAAATTTGTACCCTTGTAATTTGTACCTTTTTACATGCCAAACCTGTACCTTTGGGAACAAATCTGCACCCTTCATTTAAAGTACAAAAATAGAGGTCATGCAGAGAGTTTGCAGACCAGGATGTGAACCTGGGTTCTCCTACTTACAAGGAAACTGCACCAATCACAACATCACTGTGGAACTGTGTATGAGTGCTTTTATTTTTAGATGATAAAAATATCAGGACACAGATTCAAATTCAAAAGTACTTCCTACAATTATTTACTTTTCAAATACAATGCCGACCTGTTAAACTTATCAACAGTCCTTGTCAAAAGCTATTAGAATGAAATTAGTTATCCCAATATTTATGCTTTCAAAACTAAATTGAGTCACACTGTTTCTTTTAAAAAATATTGAATTAGTTAATGCATTTTTTGAATTTATTGTTAATTTCTTAAAACCCAACAAAATATTTTACAACTATCTTTCAGTGCTTACACAATGGTGAACAGGAAAACTGTTAAATCTATTTTGAGAAGTATAGCTTTTGCTAATGGATGTTTTTTTAGTGAAGGAGATCATAAACAGAAATGGTACCTTTTGAAAGAATTGGTACAAATGTGTACCTTTTACTACCAAGGAACCTACATGTACCTTTCAGACAATGAAAAAAGTACAGATAGATACCCAATATTAGTACTTAGACTGAGTTAATCTCATTTTTGTCCCTTGGGGAATGATAATGTACCCTTTCTGTACCCTTATTTTTTACTGTGTGTGCAGTCTGAGACACTTTCTGCAGGAATATCATACCCGTCTTAATGCTCTGATCATCTTCTGCAACATTTTGTAAAGCAATGTTTTGTTGTTGATTTTTAAATAGCTGCCAATCCACTTTGATCTTGATTGAGCTTAGAGTAATCATTGGTCAGAACTAATCTCTGTTTCTTCAAAATTAGGCTGTTCAAACTGCAACTTCCAACCTTAACCATAATGGAAATAATTAAACGTGTGTAAATCGGTTGAAACATCAAATACGATTCCACAAAACAGTGACTGCTTCTCTTTTTGTGCCCACCTTTTTCTCAGCCAAGGGTGACATCCGAAGGGGAGTACCTCCCACTCGACAACGCAGACATCAACGTGGGGTTTGACACGGGCACTGACCGAATTTTTTTGGTTTCTCCTGTGACAATTGTCCACGAAATCAACGAGGAGTCGCCGTTTTTTGAGATGGACAAGAAAACATTGGAGCACGACGCAGAGTTGGAGGTGGTGGTCATACTCGAGGGTATGGTTGAGGCCACAGCAATGACCACGCAGTGTCGTAGTTCCTACCTGGCCTCTGAAATCCTCTGGGGACACCGATTTGAGCCTGTGCTCTTTGAGAAGAAAGGTGGCTACCAGGTCAGGAAAGAATTAGAGACATAAATGTTTGAATATATGCTTAAATAGTTCATTTCCTCAATTCAATTCCTGAAATCAAATGGTATTCCTTGTTATTTTGAGTGTTGAGTTTTCAAGTAGTTTATCTAAAGTAAAATGTTAAATATGAGCACATTTTCTGTTGTTTTGTGAAGTGTTAGCACTCAGCTAAAGACCATCTGGCCCTTTTTTCTAGGTGGACTATTCCTTTTTCCATCGGACATATGAAATCCCAAACACCCCGTTGTGCAGTGCTAAAGATCTGGCTGAGCAGAAGTACATCGAAAGCTCCCGCTCATCATTTTGTTACGAGAACGAAGTTGCCCTGCAGCTCGTCTCTCCAGAAGATGAGCCGGATCAAGCGTGTCCTTCTCAGCTGACCCGAAGGCTGTCTCTGGCAGAACACCTTCATTGTAACTGAGTCCCAAAGAGTTGGAAGCTTTAGAGAAAAATACACAGAATACTTTGGATGAGGATAAAGAGACACAGACAAGACAAATGGACAGGGGGGACTAAAAGAGAAACAGATTGAGGTGTAAATGGGTAAGAGAAGAAGGGAAAGCTAAAATAGGAGAATGTCAAGAGTTTAGGATTTGAGTTTGGGAGATCTCGACGGTCCTGTTCTGATCAGACACAGAGAGGAAAAGTAAAGGAAAGGATAGGATTTTGATCATCGCTCTGACCTCGTTGTGTGATTGGCCCTGGCAGTCTTTCAGGATCATTGAATACATCTTTGTTTTTAAGTCTCACCTCTGGCCCACCTCTACCACAGCACTTTCATCTGGCGTGGTGCTCAGCAGCCCCACTCGGTGGCGTTAACCTGCAGCTTCATCTTCAAACTCCTGATCAGGAGGGATGGTGGCCTCTGTGTGAAGTGAATTATCTCGTTATTACTGACTTGTTGCTTCGGTGATGCTAACGGTAAGTATGGACAGCGTCCTTTCTTCGATGCTGCAGGACTTTGGAGGAATGTACGACATGTTGGAGCACAAAGCAAAACAACAGTAAGGGGAAACCGTTGAAAACAAGCAGCAGTTTTTAACAGTTTCTTCTTGACTAATGTTCTGTATGTTTGCACTTTTGGGTGGAAAATGTTTGTGGATTGTAAAGTTTTTTGCACTTATTTTCAGTGTTTGCAGATTATTTATTTTTTGTTGGTTTTAAAACACATTAGCACAACTGGACTGATGTTACTCATATTTAATATCTACAGGATCCTGTTAAGTATCATGTCACTAAAAGCACAAATGCTGTTGTTCACAAAACGACTTATTAGTTCTGTAGATGCACCATCGACCCAAAATGAACTCCAACATCAGAACAACTCAACCCTCAGAAACTGAATGGGAAATATTTTCTGTTGATGGAAAGTTGGGTTGGTTTGTTTTTTCTATATCCTGACTTTCATTTGCACAAGTGGATCAAAACACTACAGTTGTAGGGATACTGTTGTATTTTTGAACTAATTTACTAATTTCAGTAACGTTTCTCACTATAACATGAGACTGGTGCTGTGGGTGGTGCCTTTGTGACAGACCAGAGAATTTCCTTCATCAGCAGCCGTTCGTTTGATTTGCTCGCTGCACATTTTTGTGTTAACGTGACATGATTGCAGCATGTTTTAAATACACAAGAAAGTTCTGTGACTCTATCTTGCATTATGAGTGCTCAGTACCCTCGTTAACATGAAGAACCTCGTAGCTGTATAGTAATGTAGACTGTAAAAACTGCACTTTATAATACAAAGCACCTGGAATGTTTGTGTTTATTTAAATATTTTTGTTATTTTAAACTGAATCTAAGTATTTAAGATGTTTCGAGAAAGATGGGGGTGCAACACGTAAAAGTGTTGACCAAATCAGCCTTGTCGACGCACAGTTAGATTTTTGTTGTTTGTAATTTGCACATAAGTGAAATATGGAAGCTAAAATAACAGACGAAGCTCTGTTGTTCCTTATTGTTGCAGCAAAGTCAGCATCAAGGGTGTAGAGATTCACATGTGTTGTAAACCCTCTCGGGCTCAAAATAAGTTTTGATAAAAGGACAAACAACTAAGTCCTTCAGGGGTACTTCAGAGTTAAAAAAATGCCCAAGAGATACGAATGTGGAGTAACCAGGTAGGTAGGTTTTAACATTGCAAATCTGCAACGCCTGCCTCCAGAGGGTTAAAAAGCCCCTGTAACCTCAGGCAGAGCATCAAAAGTAGACAGCATTGTGTGAGTTACAGTTTGCTCTGCTTACACCTCTTCTTCATGACTGTTCTATTTATAAGCTTCACCAAGGGTCATGTCATTCACCCTGCTTCCATGAAGTGTAACTTGACCCTAAAGCGCCATCACTTTGAAAAGCTTTGAAAACTTGCCAGAAGAGACAGCTTGTTGGTCATCGTATTGTTTGTTTTGGATCCAGCGGCAAGTAAATGGCAATGTTTCCTAAAGAAATTAGCTTAATAAATTTCATTAAATATGTAGCAGGTTTTTTTTTGGGGGGGGGGGGGGGGGGGGGTTAAATGTCATTTTAAAGTGGCCTCAGGCACAGAGCACTTCCAAAATAATAATAATAATGATAATATTTCTGTTATGGAGCAAATAAACATATGCTATTTCATGGCTTGTTTATTTCTTATCTTATATGTTTACAAGACTACCAACCATTTTCATTGTAATCCACATTTGGTTCTGCTGTGATTTTTAATGATTAATATTCAGTTTTAAGTTAAACTGAATGAATTTTATATAAAATAACGACATTCCATTTTTGATTCTTTTTTAAACACAGATAACAACAACATTGTTTTAGATGCTTCAAGCTGTTACCTCTTCACGTACACTGACAGAAAATCATAAACTGAATGTTCATGTATAGAATTTCTAAATTTGGTGCGAATAATCAACATTTCTCAAGCTGACATCTAAACCAGTGCCACTATCACCATTTAAATAAGTTATTCCTGTAAAATGTGGCCGCAGTTATCCGGTTAAGATTGTAAACATTTTAGAGTTGTTGTTTGTTTTTTCATTAAATCTCTAAAAGACATAACGTCGTTGTTAATTTTTGTCTGGAACCCCGGGATTTTGTGGAATTTTAAAGGACAGTCCAAATGACATGTCTGGGATCAGATCGTTGCAGCTAGACCGTTTTAACTGTTTTTAGATGAAAATCACACAAATCAGATCCCAGATCAGTGACTGCGGACCCTTTTGCCGTAAAGGGGTAAACAAAGGCCGCGCGAATCTCCCTGCTCTAGCGCGAGGGTGCTGAAGGCACCTGCTACGACAATCCGATTGGTTAGCATACACGTCAGTCACACATAAACCCGCCTAGTGTCTATTTTCATTGGTTAAAATCGAAGTTGTCTACGCTGATGTTTACGTGATTCGTCGACGCAACCGTTTTCTGCCCATTTCAGGGCGGAAAGCTTTCGGTGAATTACGAGGCGGGTCTGCGACTTGGTTTTCACAATTCAATTGGAGTTTTTTCACCGTGAGGCTAGACCTAACCCGTGTGGTGGTACCTGGTTGGTCTATCAGACGGAAGCGCATCGTCGGGGCCGAAGCCGTCGAGTTGCCCTCAGTGCTCGCTGCTTTATTCGCACCGAGTGCGTGCGGCTTGCTTCACACAGAGCAATGCGATGATAAACGCCGCATATGCGGTAGGCTACACACCTATCTGGCAGGGAAATATCCAAGAAACAGCTTCACCCCGGTTCTTTTAACGCTGCGGCCATACCCACTTCTCAGAGCGGAACCTAAAGGTGAGACATTTATTTACATTTATGCTAATCCAGCTAATGGTATATCCTTTTAATGTATCATATTTCAGTGGAGCTGGGCTAACCTCGCGCTGGCTTAACGTCTAAACATGAAACATAATGAATTGATCTTAAGAAATAAGAAGATCCGAAGAGACACGAGGTCAAACAAACTGTGTAGCCGTGTAGAGTCGACCTAAATATTAATTAGATACAGTCATGTAGCTTGTTATATTAATAAAGATGGCCAATAGATGGTGTGAAATTGAATGGTTCCCATGCGGCTTTCTGATGTTTCATTCCACCTCAAGGTGTGGCCGTCTTCGTCAGTTTTTGCGCTGCTTTCAGTTGAAATAAGCAGGTTATTTATAGGGTTGACGCCGCATCTGTAGGTCTGTGCAGCCGCAGCTGTAATGATCACCACCAGCGGCTTAATAATGTCACCTTTCCTCACTGTCCGCCTTCAGTGAGCAGATGCCTCCTCTGTTTATCACCCCCGATGCGCTGCTGCCACTGAGCATCAAAGCTGAGAAAAAGGCGTTTCCAGCCCCACCATTAGTTAAACGCACCCTCACATAGGGAGCGAGGGAGCAGCACCCACCCCCCCGCAGTGGATGACCTCAGTCCAAACTCAGGTTTTGTCTGAGCCGGGTGTTGTTGCTATGGAGGAGAGGTATCGGAATTTGGCAACTCCAGCTGCTGCAGGAGTTTGCTGGTTTAGGCTGTACTGCGACAACCCAGAGGTCTTTCCTTCAGTGTGTGTGTGTGTGTGTGTGTGTGCGTGTGTGTGTGTGTGTGTGTGTGACACGCTGGCATTGATTGGGCTAAACAGCATCATATATTACAGCTGTATAGATAAAGCACCCTGTGACAGCTGATAAAGCTTACAGGCTAGAACAAGTTATTCTGTTTTGTTATAATTTTTTTCCACATCTTTCATCAGTGTCACTAGTAAGTCAAGATTTATTTATAAAATGCCTTTAACTGAAAGTGAAATCAAGACAAAACATAGTAAAAACAATGAAAATGTATCAGAATAAGACATTTGTGGCAGCAGTAGCTCAGGAGGTAGAGCGGGTTGTCCAGTAGTCGGAAGGTTGTAGGTTCGACCACCTTGGCTTGTGGTGGTCGGAGGGCCTGGTGGCGCCTGTGTTGAACAGTCTCATTTCTGTCGGTGTGCCCCAGAGCAGCTGTAGCTACATTGTAGCTCATCCCCACCAGTGTGTGAATGGGTGGATGACTGATTGTGTTGTGAAGCGCCTTGGGGGGTCGTAGAACCCTAAGAAGGCGCTATATAACCATTTATCACTGCAAAGAATAACAAAGTCAGACTCATCACAAAGAACTAGTTTTAGTTTGCAAATAATTCACTTTGATTCAGTTCACTTAAATCAAATCAAACTTTATTTATAAAGCACTTTTCATGCATAGGATGCAACACAAAGTGCTTAACAGATTAAAATAACCCATATAACCCACATTCCCTCCCTTTCCCACACTTAAAGCAATTGTGACAGTTTCACCCCCAATCCACAAACCATTCCCAGGCACGCACACACACACACACACACACACACACACACACACACACACACACACACACACACACACACACACACACACACACAAATAATAAATAATAAATATATATATAAATAAACGCTAACAGTTCAGCATGATGTGAAGCTTCAATTTCTAATCTACCTATTTATAAAGTCTGGACTCAGATTTGGGTTTAACAGCAAGCCAACACAGACCACACTAAGTCGTAAATGCATTAATCCAGTGTAATTTGTTGGCTACATTAAAAAGGTTCTAATCTAAAAAATAAAAGGAAATATCTAGTGCCAGTTCACAACAACAGTCATGTCAAAACCAAAAAGCAACAAGTTAAATTCACGTCAGATTTAAGCCAACAGTAAGTTCAATTTAATTTGAAAGAAATGTGATTTGCTAGCTTATTTAATGCCAGTTGATCAGTTTTGCCCTTTATAAAGGAACAAGCGTTTGGATTGATGCTTCTGTGAAATGCCCCATATAAAGTAAGCACAATACAAAGAGTGACAGTATTAAGAAAAAATCCCTTTTCACATATTTTCAGCAACATTTCATACTTAAAGTGACGGTGTGTATTTTTCATTGCAAGCGGTATGTTTGTGCTTGAGTAAGACCGTACCAATGGATGCCCATTAGGGTCAAAAGTAACTGGAAGTGCAACCCCCAGCAAAATGGCAAGCACATCAGACTCCCTTTCATCACTGGCAGCAAATGAAGAGGTAGATGTGTAAACGTTTATGAATGGTGAAAGCTTTGTAACCGTTTGTAAATGCTGTATGTCCTCACAGGCTCCCGTAGAAGGAAACATGGCGTCGCCCAGAGACTTAGACCCACGCTCGTGTATTTTAGGCCCAATTTTTATGGTTATTATGTTATGAAACCACCAACAACATATATTACCAGAGATTAATGGTAAACACTGCACATTGACTCTTTAAAGTTAGGAAATAACACAATGTTCAGCATGTTTGTTTTAATGGCCTCTAAGTTTAGTAAGAAACATGAAACCAGCCTTTTAAAATGATTAACAGCTTTTTAACACCACTGTGGGATTGCATAGTTTCCAGAGTGACTGGCTGGGTGTCGGCAGCTCTTTTGTGAACATGTTCACTCCACGCCCAAAGTTGTGTTGGAGCTACAGGTATGGTAACGGCAGTGCTGGGAACAGACTGAGACGCAAAGCGGAAAAGGCTTAGACTGAGGTGTGTGTGGCAGGAATCAGGCCTGATGACATACCTGCAGAAGCATCGAGATGCCTGACTTTTTCCTACAAGCTGGGACAATAACTGCCTGTCGAATCAAAGCTGGTTTTCGCTTTATTCCACCAGCTTACTCTAGATACCTTAATTATATTAACGCTGTGTCATTTAGCTCAACGGATCACCAGATTTATCCCGATTTAGTTGTCAAAAAGTAGTTCTTATTCATATTTGGGACTAATACGATTACCATAAGATGGAGTCGTGACTAAAACCGTTTTACTTTCATTATTAATGCTCATAGATTCTCCTGTTGATGTCCCTGTATTCCACCAGATTCTTTTGTGTCATTGAAGCACAAACACGTTCAGCTTCACAAAAGTGACAGACATCTTCACACCTTCAGCTTCGTGGTGATGACATCTCCTCCTCCGCCTACCCATAAAGCAAGCTTCCTCACAAAACCCCTGCAGTTCACCGCTCCTGTTGCGGTGCCGCTGTCAGTCTGACTGTGGATTGCCTTCATGTGTCAGAGCTGTAACCACTTTTAGCAACTGTCACCCCGTTGCTCTCGGGACATCAGCGTCCGGAGGTCCCTCCAGTCTTCACTAACTCTGTGAACTCTCCTCTAAGGATTTATTTCTGATTTGTTTTCATCACCTAACCCTTTCTTTCACCATCCCTCTCCCTCTTTGCTGTCATGTCAGGTTATCCACTGGATTGATGTGTCTTGATGTCCCTTCACCCAGAAGTCTCCCTGTTTGTCCTCCATTCTTGTCTTCCTCTCGATTTGCCTCATCTCTAAATTAGGCCAGCCTCGGTCGGATACGGGCTGCCCGTTACTTGCGTGCCGCTACATTGTCATACCAGAATTTGCGGGTGTGCACACAGAGCGTGATGTCTCCACACAGAATCACACCAGTATCTCCCAGCCGTAGAAATCATCCACAGTTCTAACTCTAACTCCTGCTGACCCCTTTTCTTTTGTGTTCTGCTCTCGTTTCTCACACAGTGCCAGTAATACCATGTCCAGGTCAGCGGGGGGCAGCATAAATGATGTCACTCGCTTCCTATCAACAGGTGGGGGGGGGCCAGGATCCCCCAGCTCAAGTTCCCCCACGTTTTCCGCCGCCAGCCAAGCCGACTGGGCTGCAAAGAGGCTGGTGTGGGTGCCGTCAGAGAAGCATGGCTTCGAGGTAAGTTGTCAAGGAGAAGAAGTTTGTGTTTTTATCCCACATGGTCATGTTGATTAATTAGCACCTTCTGGGTCTTGATACTGGCGTTCTCATACGTTCCGCCAGGGTTTAAGGGGTTAAATCATTCAGGGTGTTATAAGAATAAACACTTTTCAGAACCAAATTCCATTTATTTTTTGCAATTTGTCTTAACATTCCAAATCTGAGACCATGGTTCTCGACCGGGAAAGGGTGGCTTGCCAACTCCGGGTCGGGGGAGAGGTCCTACCTCAAGTGGAGGAGTTTAAGTATCTCGGGGTCTTGTTCACGAGTGAGGGTAGGAGGGATCGGGAGATCGACAGGCGGATTGGTTCGGCGTCTGCAGTGATGCGGACGCTGAGCCGATCTGTCGTGGGGAAGAGGGAGCTGAGCCAGAAAGCCAGGCTCTCGATTTACCGGTCGATCTACGTCCCAGTCCTCACCTATGGTCATGAGCTTTGGGTAATGACCGAAAGAACGAGATCGCGGATACAAGCGGCCAAAATGAGTTTCCTCCGTAGGGTGGCCGGGCTCAGCCTTAGAGATAGGGTGAGGAGCTCGGACATTCGGGAGGGACTCGGAGTAGAACCGCTGCTCCTCCAGATCGAAAGGAGTCAGTTGAGGTGGTTTGGGCATCTGGTCAGGATGCCTCATGGACGCCTCCCTGGGGAGGTGTTTCGGGCATGTCCTGCCAGCAGGAGGCCCTCGGGTCGACCCAGAACATGTTGGAGAGGTTACATCTCCAATCTGGTCCGGGAACGCCTTGGGGTCCTGCCGGAGGAGCTGGTGGAGGTGGCCGTGGAGAGGACGGTCTGGAGCTCCCTAGTTGGGATGCTGCCCCTGTGGCCTGGACCCGGATAAGCGGAGGAAGACGACGACGTCTTAACATTCCTGCTTTTCACTATCCAGCGTTAATAGTTTTGTAATGATTTGCCTTCGAGTGTGTTCCCTCAGCCAGAGGCGTGTCAGGCAGGTGACACTAAGCAACATAGGGTGTGTGTGTGTGTGTGTTGTTTTTAAGTCATGGAGCATTAATCGTTGTGACACTGAACTATTTTCTCCGCTATTGTCTGTCTCACTGGAGTCCTTACTGGCACACTGAGGACCAGCAGCTATCCCAAGACTGCTGATATAATATTAATGTGTCCAACTCAAACTTCAGATGCTTATTGTATGTTTCTACGGGTGCATGTTTTAGGATGTGACTCATGAATTCAATGTCCTGTCTCTGAGTGTCCCTCTCTCAGCTGGACTGGTTTCATAAAAAGCTCTATGAATAGAACAATACACTCCTTCAGCTTCTGGATGTTAAAGAGGCCATGCAGAGACACTGACTTCGTTTACACGCATGTTCTGAGAATGTTGCAGAAACACACACAGACATGGACGCACACATTAAACACGCACGCTATTTAGCAGTTTTATATTCTGAGCACTTTCTCTTGTCTGCGTCTAATTTACAGTACAGCCTCACAGATACGTGTGTGTGTGTGTGTGTGTGTTACATAGTAGACTATGATCAGAGCCATAGTTCTCCTTCCTGTGCAACAAGAGTACAAATAAAATAGGTCCTCTGATCTATCGCCATCTATTCTAGTCTGCTGTCAAATTCAATCTGTCACACACACACACACACACGCGCACACACACACACAGCAGAATCAGTTTTTGTGTCTCCTAATTCATATATATTCATTAATTGTGTTCATTTTCTAGCAATCTTCTACCTTGTAAGTGACCTTTGACCTATGTTCTATTTTGAGCTGAAAGAAACTACTTTTCAGAAGCTTGAAACGGCAAGTTTCCTGCAGTTTAGCTCTGTGATGGGTTTTATTTTTAGTTAAAGCTGCTTTTATGAAAAGTAGCGGCTGTTTTTAGAGCTTCTCTGTTGGGATCTGAGGCCGCCTCATCATGCTTCTTTATTTCCTTCTCCAAATTAGAACAGAATCAATGCATTCAGTTAGGGTTAGGGTTGTTCAGTGTTCAGTATAAAACACTATTTATCATAGGCAGGCTTTAAGTATTGCAGAAATATGTCAAAGCCAAGGGAACTTCATTATCATCAAGGGGCGACCTGTTATGCAGACCAGCAGAGAATAAATACAAATAAAGTACAAATATACAACATGCATCATGCAGGACACTCAGCACACAGGTATGAGCTAATACTGCTGTCATTGTGGTGAGCACAGCAGACTAATGAAAAGATCTTAGCTGTTGGGAATAAATAAACGTTTCTGCTTGTTCATGTTTTGGTACCTTGTACCTGGGACCAGATAACAAGTCTCCACTCGTGGGAACAGGGGTGACTTGGGTCAGCAGCGTTGGCTTTGGCCTTCTTAGAGAAAACACATCCCTGTTGATTATTCTAACTTGTTTTTGTTTTTTATCCCGTTTTTCCCAGTCGGCCAGCATTCGGGAAGAGCGTGGCGATGAGGTGGAGGTGGAGCTCACAGACAGCCAGCGGAAGTTGACTCTGTCCAGAGAGGAGGTGCAGCGGATGAACCCTCCACGCTTCAGCAAAGTGGAGGACATGGCCGACCTAACCTGCCTGAACGAAGCGTCGGTGCTGCACAACCTCAGAGAACGATACTACTCCGGCCTGATCTATGTGAGTTCAGGGGCTAGCGATCGAAACCTAAAACTGAAAACAAGTCCAACACAGCACCCAGGCGAGGCGGCGTTTTCTTTTTGAACCTGATATGAGCTGGTGAGAGAAGTAAGGAGTCGGTTTACCACCCTGTGTGAGGAGGCAGCGGGGGTGTCTTCAGTTTCAGCTGCAGAAAACGGGGAACCAAAACGTAAAAGCAGAATTAAGAGAGATGCAACAATCTGTTGATGATTGGCAGAAATCAGCTGCGTGTGCAATCACAGCAGAAAAATATGAAAGTAATACATCTGAACTTCTCTTAATGGCAGGACTAACGGTTGATGTGGAAGATATGGATGGTAGTTAAGAGCAAACAAAGATTATTTGCATAGCTTAGAGAGGCATAATACAACGGGTGATAAGAGAGCGGTGAGTCCTAAGACTTTCACTTCAACTGGAATGCAAACTAAAGCATTAAAGGTGTGGTTGACTGAAAAAAAAATACATTTTTTTAATGTATTTTCAGATTACAATCGGTCACTCTGAGCTTTTCATGCAGGCTGAACATGAAAATAATCCCCTACACCTTGCTTGAAAAATTGTTCCAAAATGAAAGTTGAACCCACATCTTTTTTATCTGTGAATTCAATGCCGTTTGGCGAGTCTCAAATAAAAATTTGGGCATCTTACTGTAAAAAAATACCATTAATGTAAAAAAGAAACTCTAAATAAACTATGTTCACATCCAGAATCAAACCCGGGTCTTCTGCACGAAAGTCCGGCATCTTACTCGGTGAGCTAATGCGCCAGTGACATCCTTTGTATCTGTAACATTTATATCCTTGATGACAGCTGAAACAACGTTCAAAGAACGGTTCGGAGCGAAAATGGCTATTTTGTTGCTAATTAGCAGGAAATATCTAGAAGAAAGTTCTACAGAAAGTAGCTAAGGGTCCTCAGAAATGTAGCTAGCTTTGTCACTAGGCGTTAGGAACAGCGACAAAGTGGCACTGCCTCTCTCTCTGCTGCTAAAGCTACAGATAGCAAATGCTACGGGCGATGCCTGAGCGTGAACGTGCATGAAGCAGCCTGCTCGACCCGAGCAGCTCTCTTTTTCTGTGATTTTACAGAAAAACAGGCAATCACAGTAAAAATGCCAGGGCTCATTCTACAGGACCAGGGCATTGCAGGAGAATGTATGAAGAAGACATTTATTATTTCTATACATGTTTTGGCTGTCAGACTTCCATAACGCCCCTTTAATTTTCTACTTCTTACATTGGAAAGGAAAGGGCGAACAGGAAGGGGACATTTTAGTGGGCTGACTTAGGTGTGCTGATTAGAGTAGAAGGATTTATGTCGTATAAATTGATTTCTTTTTGACATTTCTGGTAATAATCTCAAGCAAGAGCCAACCTGCCTAATGTCTCTTCACTCAAACATTAATCGTTCAGAGACGAGCCGTTTTATTTACTTTGCAGACGTATCACCTGGCAGAAACCACTTTCTACGTTGGATCGTGTTTCTTTCATTTGGCCGAGCTTTTGAAAAGCTGTTTTCTTATTAGTTCTAGTTTGGTTTTGTAAAAAAGGAGATTTTACTTCTCCATTTTCCTAGAAATAGAAATAAAAGCCTACATTATTTCAACAACACTATTTTAAGAGTGAAAGTCTTATCACTAGAAATCCGAAATCATAGACATGAAATAGGTGCAAATCTGCCATAAAATGTCACTTTTCTGTGATTTTTCAGACCTATTCAGGGCTGTTCTGTGTGGTGGTGAACCCCTACAAGAACCTGCCCATCTACACAGAGTCCATTGTGGAGATGTACCGGGGGAAAAAACGCCACGAGATGCCCCCGCACATTTACGCCATATCAGAGGCGGCGTATCGCAGCATGCTGCAAGGTAATCCCTGCTTTCTTTGACCTGTGACTGACTCTGAGTCCCGTAGCTATCTCAGACACGGCGTATCGGCTCCGTTCAGCACTCCGTATCATCAGTGATCTTTGGTCGCTAAGCCTCAACAGGAATGCTTTCAGAAGGTGTGGTATTTTCTCCACCTGGGTTGTTATCAAATGCTTTAAAAGTGAGAACAGATACGTAAGACAGCGTTTTCACAAATGAGACTTGTGGGTGTGACACTCCTTGTTGCAAAACTCCAGTGCAGTGAGGTACTGGTGCGTTCGATGCGGTGAGTCACATGTTTATAACGATACACGACAGGCATTTATTTTGCTATGCCCTGCTTGTCGGGTTGACTTTATGAAATGAGACACGGAGGGTTCCCAGCAAACATTTTAAAAGCAGTTAAAGGTTGTGCAACATTTCTGCCTCTGCGTGTCTACCTGAAGTAATGAGACAGGACGGATGGGGCTGTGTGTCCTCAGCTGCCATGATCCCTGAGGGGGCTCGGGGGTGGCAACGGCTGCAGGTGTGTTATCACAGCGATGGAACCTGTAGGACCAGTATGAATTCTTCTGAAATGAACTCGTGAGAATGTGAAACAAACAAATACCACCAGCCTTACAAGCCGTGTCCACCCATCCACTTCCACTGCCGTGTGGTTTGGCAGCCCGGAGAGACCAGTTGAGCTGGTGACCAGCTGCTCTCTTACTGCATGAATCAGAAAGCGCGTGTGACACAACACACAGCGATTTAAACGGCAGGGCAGTGGAGTTCCTGAATGCTTCTGCGTTAACGTCACACTTTTAAACGGTTTCATCTGATTCTCTTTTAAAGACTTTGGAGAAATAAAAAAATCCATTCGACATCCTTCATTGTGCCGTGAATTCTTGTGACAAAACCTAAGTTTTATGGTGTTTTTCTGCTCCACAGACAGAGAAGATCAGTCGATCCTCTGCACGTGAGTAACAAACGCCGAGATCCCACTGGGTCTGTGTGTTTCATTAACATCCAGAGCATTTCTGTAGGCGTCCCGCTGAAGGCGTGCTGTGTGCAGGAATCACTTTCATTTCATTTTCTTCTGTGCTTTTATCTTTTCAGATTTATGCTGACATTTAAACCAATTTTAGATCTCAAAGCATCACCCACTAGAGCTTTTCTTTATTTCTATTTAGAAGCCGTGTTGGGCAAGTTACTTCAAAACTGTAATGCATTATTTATTACTTGTTACCTCATTTTAAAGTAATTCATTACATTACAATATTACTGATTTTAAAATGTAAGGCATTACACTACTTTTGCATTACTTAAAGTTACTTTCACCAATACTACTTCAGTATGAATCCGGTCATGTGACGCTCAGTGAGCTCATGACATACATGTGGAAGGTGATGTGGTGTCTGAGCTAGGATTGCTGTTAAAAACAGTCAGATATAATAACAGTGCTTTAAAATGATTGTTTATTAAATAAAAGCAACAACGATCTGTACTCTCAGCACGCTGCCATCTTATAGGGCCATCTGAGCAGGGAGTGAGGTGGTGGGGGCTCCAAGCCTATATTTGCCTTGGTCCCCAAATGCCTTGATACGGCCCTGGATGTGGGACTGACTTCTGGGGTGATCTGATTCTATCACATGTATAAATATTAAATACTTATATATTATTGCTTTTCACTGGTAAAAATGTGTATTGGGGATAAATCTACCTACTTTTTTTCTTTTCAAGCACTTTGTTTTGTTTTCTTGATTTTATGTGAATAATTTCCGGCCCTTTCTCTCTCTAACCTTCCTGCATGCTGCATGTTTTCTCCGTCTTCCAGAAAAACTGTAAACTAGATTTCCTACTTTCTAACTAGTCAGCCAAAGGGATCTACCGAACGCAAAAAAAAAAAAAGCTTAATATGCGCTGCGCTCCAGCAGCAATGAGTTGAAATCACCGGGGCACAGATTATGAACTCAGCTGAAAAGTACATGAAGTACCAGAGAATATGGGCTGATATAAACAATCACAAACGAATGACTTTGTTTTGGTGGAGCGATTTTGTGAATATAACAGCGGCCGCGTGCAGGACGCAGCTGCAGTATTTGAGCCGTTACCGCTGCGTCCTCTCTGCTCATAGAATGCCCGCAAAGCTGAGTCCATAAATGACGTCATATATGTGGATACTGGATCTTTTTTCAGGCTTCCCGCAATTTGAATTTTTAGGAAACCCACATCTTGATTCTGGGTTTAAAAATGCGTTGTAATTACCGCGTTACTGACAATTGTACTGAGTAAATATTACCATTTTCTTTCCCTGTAATGCCTTACATTACCACATTACAGCAAAAAGCAATGCATTACAGTAATTAATTACATTTGTACCGCATTACTCCCAACACTGTTTAGAAGTACTGAAAATTTATTCTAAAGACTTAAATTGCATCCATGTCTATTGCATAAATTATTCAATTTTTGACACAAATCAAAACCATAAAAAAGTCCAAAGTTGTGATCTGTAAGAGCACCCTGCCTTCATACTTCACTGTGGACCTGCCTTCAATGTCTTCCTGCCATAATCTTCCTGTCTGGATGTCACCCTACATTCGTCTTACACAGCAGCCGTTGTAATCTAAGCAAATAATCTGCTTCTTTTCGATGTTTCATCTCAGCTATTTTAGCTTGTTTTCCCTTCATTCTCCTCCAAAAGCCTGAGCATGTTCACAGTAGTGACACAGGCTGTATCCTCCACACCTGTGCTCTGTTTACACCTGCA